AATTAAAGTAAATCTCCAGTTTTTTTTGCATTTTAAATTTTTATTCAATTTAATAAATGCACATAAAAATGATAAAACAATATATATAACAATAATAATTAATTACAATAATATTAAAATGTTAAATTAGATAAAGAAGAGTAACTTTTTTTTTTGGAAAAAAGTCGATTTTTATTTGAAAAAAAACATTGACCATTAAAATTGCATTTTATCAGTAGAGAAGACAGCAATGTGTAAATGGTTAGAAAAAGATTAAAATCACATAACATGTTCATTACATTATTCACAATTTTTTCATTTGCATCAATTTAGTTTCGCAAATTGTAATAAACACGTGACGAAATTAAATTTCCAGATAGCAAGATGCCAATAATAATAATAAACCAGACAAGAATTTCCTTTCATTAAACAATAATAAAAAAAAAAAAAAATTCACAAATAGTTTTTATAATAAAAATTTTTATATTAATATGGAATATGAATGTCTGGTTACTATTTGTTTGTGATTCTAAGGGGAATTCATCGCACTAGAGTGAAGATGTGCGATTTGAAGATAAAGAATAATAATAATAATAATATCGATGTGCACAGTGTCAGGTGTCAAAGTTTCAATATAATAATAATGAAAGTATTTTTTTTTTTTTTTTTATTTGTTCTCGCGCAATTTTATTTATCCCGGGACATGCGCACTTGAACGAAATTAAATGCCATCTACGTGTTATGGATTTGTGAGCATCGAAGTACAAACAACGGCGTTATAATTACTTTTACTCGCAGCTGCTCTACTTTACGCTCCGATTTAGTTAGCGACGGACCCAGCAATTTCTTTTTCTTTTTATTTTAATTAAATATTTCTTTTTATATTTTCTTTTTATAAAAAAAAAAAAAAATGATGTTATCCCTCTTGACTTATATATTACTCAAGAATAACAACATATTCTTTAAAAAATAAAATAACTACAGTAAAAGAACAAAAACGAGTTCTAGTTCAAATTATTAAAAGTATCTAGTTAAAAAAAAATTTTGTTACTTTAACCAGAAAAAATAGTTATGTAAAAAAAAGTGAAAATATGAAAAAAATGAAATAAAAATTTCCATGTGTTTTATAAAGAAAAAATTAATAATTAGTAACGGTAATTAATTTCTCACTTAAACTTTATTTGTGTGTTTATATCTTTTATTTCAAATAATAAGAAAATGTGAGTTTTAATAGTACATTGAAAAAAAAAGAATTTATTTGATTCAAATACTCGATTACTTGACTATTATCAAATAAATATTTATTTGATAATAGTCAAGTAATCGTGTATTTGAATCAAATAAATTTTTTTATAGTGTTATAAAAACTCAAGTATTTTGACAGTATTATTAAGAAATAAAACAAAATTTCTAAATTTAGCGATAGCTGCAGTCGTTAAACGCTTAGGTTAACCGTATTACGTCAGGTCAGACGTTCGGGGTTCAATCCTTCCCAGGGTTCAAATTTTAATTTAATTTTTTAAGTTTACTATAAAACGCGGAAACGTACTTAATCTTAAAATTTAGCATTGAAATTAATAATTATTATTAATTACAACAATAATAAAAGTTATAATTATTATTATTTTAAATTTATTCTTTATATATAGAAACGTGATTTATTTCTAAATTAGCATATTAAACAATTTTTAAAATTAATTAACTATTCTATCTGGTTATTTCAACAAAAATTATTTTTTAAATATATCTTTTAACAATTATCAATTATTAATTAATTTAACTATTAGTAATAAAATTCAAAATAATATTAACTATTAGGAATTTAATTTATCAACTTAATAATTCTCTATTATTGCAATACAAAAATGTAAAAAATATATAAAAATAAATATTTAAAATAAAATATACAAAAATTAAAGAAAACTTTTTTTTTTAGCTTTTTAGCAATGTTTTTAAAATTCCTAACAAATATACATGAAAGAATTAATTATATTAAAATAAATAGAAAAATTTTTTATGTTAAATGTTACATAAATTAGTCCAGGTTCGACGCTAAACTAAGATCGTTTTTTCTTTCAACGTTATAATGTTGTTTCTCGAGATTTGTTAAATATAAAATTGTTATGAACAAATAATTATAATTTTTCGATTAATAATAAAATGTTAGGGAATAGAATGTACTTTGTGTTATGGTGAATGTACTTAACATTTTTTTCCTACAATTCTAATTAATTAACTGGTTAATTAAAAGTAATGAGATAAATAATTAATAATGTTAGTAAATTAATATAAAAATATTTAAATTTTCGCATATTTTTATTATTTTGTTCCCACTAATGAAAAATAAATAGTGAAAAAATTTTCCTTCTTTGCAAATATAAACACGATTAGTGAAACAAACAATTTTTTTAATTGGGTCAGTCAAAATATTAATTAATAAATAGTAGTTTAAACTAATGAAGTTCCTACATAAGTTAGGAAACAACGCTAGTCTGGATTTTATTAAGTATAAATTAAAAAAATTAACAAAAAATGTAAAATTCATATTCAATGTTAAAATAATTTTTTTTTTATAAATATTTAGTGAAAAGTTTTGTGCTTGTTTAGTGTGTGAGTAATGATGGACGTGCACTGAGCAGCGTGTTATGAGTATTTTTTTTTCATTAATACACAATAATAAATATTTTAATTCTTGAAAGTGTCAGTGGATTTTGAAATTTAAATATAAATATTTAAATAGTATGTGTTAACTGTTCGACAAATCAAGCTACTAGGAATCAGATAAACACGCAATCAACAGCAGAAGCTTCCAAATGATACAAAATAATCACTTCAAGTATAAGAGAGAACATAGAAAAAATACGTATAAAAATATTTTATACTTTTTTAATTGTATTAACAATATCTTTTTCCTTCTTTCTTTTCTATTGACATTTTACTACCGGCTTTAAGTCTAAATTTATACAAATTTTATTTTAATTTTTATTTTTGAGTTACGTAAATATAGCGTGCAGCGGAGCCGAAATTTATAGTAGAAAGCGTCAAGGTCATTCCCACTTTCTGCTGGTTGCGCGCGCCACTCGAAAAGAGTGAGGGAATTCCCCACTCTCTATTTGCAGCGCGCGCAGCACGAAAATAGTGAGCCTCATCCCTACTCTTTATTTCTAGCGCGCTAAGTATTATACTTGAAAATTATACGTGAAAAAGATATTGATTTTTTTTTCAAAAGAAGAAAGTATTTTTTTTTTTTTTTGATTTTTATACTTTTTTTTTAATAGTATAAAAGTGGATAAAGAATATCGCGTTTAATAAATAATTTTTCGACTTATTGCATTAATTTAAGAGTATCGAATATGAAGAGTAAAATTATAAACAAATTTCTCAGTATTTAAAAATTCTTATATTTTAATTTTATTAAAAAAAATGATTCAATTAAAATAAAGTATAAAGGGAAAACAAATTGATTTTCCTAAAACTTTTCGCATACAATCACTCTTTCTTTAAAAAAAAAAAATATATTTTTTTAATTTCTCTTCTCTCTAAAGAATTTTTTCCCTAAATAAAAAAAAGGGGGGGGGGATGTATTGGATTTGTAAATCATCATGAGTTTCTAGCAAACAATAACTTTTTTTAAAGTTTAAAAAAATTAATATGTTTAGCAATACGAGAAATATGCGTCAGATTTGTGTAGCTAATGAGTAGATTCATTCGAGGAATTTTTATTACTGTTAATTGTTAATATTATCACAATTAGGATCTACAAAATCAAATTTATATTACGAAATACACCTTTTTCTTCTCCTCCGATAAGGCACACTTTTTAAAAATTAAAATTAAAGAAATAAAACTTAATTTTTTTCATTAATGCATCGGCTTAACGAGTATGTAACTAGAGAGAAACAAAGATTCCAACGATTGTTACCAAACGCAACTACGCTTGCGCTACTACAACTCTCTGATTGGTAAGAAAAGGCGCTCTTATTTAAAGTGCTTTAATAGAAGAAAATGTTTAGAAAATAAACAAAAAATTGCAATTATTAAACTCGATGTTAAATTTATTGTTTTTCTGTTTAATTATAATGTCTTTTAATAAAAATTAATTTTTTACCTTACTGAAAATTAATCTCAAAATAATTATTAACAATTAATTTTCATTCAATATAAAAACATAATTTTAACATTAAACATAAAAACAATAAATTTACCGCTTACAATTTTCTTTATTGTTCTCTAAACATTATCTTATATTAAAGTATTTTAAATAAGAGCGCCTTTTTCTACGAATGAGAGAGTTGTAGTAGCGCAAGCGCAGTTGCGTTTAGTAACGGCCGTTGGCTGGTTGGTTAATTTCAAAGGAGTGGGGAGGTAAGAGGGAGAGAGAAGCGATACAATCTCTCTCGCTATCCTTCTCCTACTCATCAGATTCCTCCTTACTCAATAGTTTTCTACTATTTAAACCAAACGTAATTTGTTTTAAGAAAAAATTGTATAGCCTTTTAATTTATTTATAATATAATTTCAAAATAATTGAATAGGAAAATATTTTTATACTAATAAATAGATACAAACATTTATTTTTACTTTTATCTAAAAAAAAAAAAAAAATTCAAAACAAAAAAAATAACCTGCCCCTTCGGAGAAGAATATTTATCTTAATATTAATATTGTAAGTTATAACTACATTTTGCGTACTTTCGTGGGTACTGGAAAACTACTATTAACTTATAAACTACTTTTCACTGCCCTCCTTTCAAAACTAAAACTATAGAAACTACTTTGAAAAATTCAACTAAGACAATTTTAATGAATTTTTTTTTTAAAGGAATTTTTTTAAAAAATTTGTTTAGGCTCTTTTAGAATGCGATAAAGTGAGACAGACCTATTTCACACACACACACACACACATAGAGAAGACGCGATGTGTAATGACACAAAATTTAAGCTTATTATCATTTTTTTTTGTTTAGTAATAAGAAAAGCGTATGAATAAAAAAAAAATGTAAAGAAATGAATTTTCCTACCTTTCACGTCATCGTCTTCTATTGTCGTACTGCTATCGGTGGACTCCTTCACTTGAGATCCATCACCCTTCTTCGTTACGATGCTTCGAGCTGAAGTGTGCAAATTATTTTAGTGAAATGAACAGAAAATTATTTCTCAGTATTTAACTGAGAAATATTTGTATATACATTACATTAAATCTGTTATTCATTGTCAATGATAACGAATTTCAATTTTTTTTTGTTTTTGAATTTCGTTTTGAATTCACTTTATTGTTTAACAATTTTTATTTCTAAATTTTTATGCCATAAATTGTAATTTTATAAAAAGAAAGTGGCAAAAATTAATTTAATTTTTTTTCTTGATTTGCAAAAAAATTTTGAAAATAATTTTTTTTTTACACAACCAAAAAGGAGAAAAATCTTTATGGAGACTGCAATTTTGGTACTTCAATAGGACTGTAACGATCTGCTTCAACAATAAGAATAATAATAATAATAATAATAATAATAATAATAATAATAATAATAATAATATTAATAATAATAACAATTATTATTTTATTATTAATAATATTAATTCGTATAATTTTGAAAAAGTGATTAATATGTACCTCATGTATAAAATTTTCTTTTTAAACAAATGAAAAGAATAATTCATTGACAATGACATTTTTTTCGTGAAATTGTGAAAAATATTATTAAAGCGAGTAAAACATTTTTTTTTGCCTTTCTGAAAAAATCGCACGACTTGCAAAAAAAAACTGTCGAAAAAAATAAATTTTTTGCAATAATAATTATATTTATATTTAAGTAATAATTTTTTTCGAAAATATTTTTATTCACAACAAATCGAGCGTTTTTCTCAGTTATAATATTTTATGTAAAATATACAATCGTTTTGTGTATAATATGTTATGTACATCAATACACATGTTCGTGTAGACATTGACGTGAAATGTTTTTTTTGTGTGTTCAGTTTCCATGGTTTACAAAATTTACAAAAAATAAAATAAAATTTGCATAATTTTATTTCAAATCAAACCATAAATAAATTTACTCTAAACTCGAATTCATCTATCTAGTATAATTATTTTTATTACTAAATTAAATACTAATTAAATTTTTTTTTTTTTATTATTTTCTAATTGAAAAACTATGAATTATTAATTAAATCATAGATATTTAATTAAATTACTTTAAATAATGAATTTATTGATATTCTATTTAAAAAGCAATAGTAATTTTCTTTTTTGATAAAATAATAATATTAATGAAAGTCAAAGAAAGACAATAAAAATTTTACACTAGTTTCCAGTTTCCATATTGGAAACACCTATAAATGTATATATATATATACACATAACATTGATTTGAATGTCAAGAATATTCACGAAATAATGGTCACATAACACTAGCCACAGTAGTATTAATCCGTATTTGGTCGGACGGATCCATTTACGTAAATTTCTATAGGCTCTAATTGTTCAAACTGTGAGGCTCAATGCCCAAAAACATAATTATATCAAGAAAATAATTTTTAAAAAAATTTGATTTTACTTTATATTTTATTGAAAATTTTATTTTAAATCCTATAAAATATTACAATTATTATTAATAAAACAGTTATTATTAATTAGAAAAATTATTTCGTATATTAGCAAAATTATTTTATTACATATTATCAATTATTAATAAACGAAAAATTAAAATTCTTTTCCAATAAATTTGCTCAATTTGAATTATAGTTAAAAATAAATAATTATCAGTAAAATGGTTGACATTATTTATTTAGAAATTGGGTCAGAATTTCTGAATTTTATTTAATAATTCTTTTTTTTTTACTCCTATACTGTGATTAAAATAAATTTCTGAAAATATTCAAACAAAAAAATTGTTTGCTAAAATTATAAACAATTAAAATTCAATAAATAAATTTCGTTAATTTAATATCATATTTGTAAGCAGCGACCCAAAAAATTTCCGAGTAACAAGTTTCATGAAAATCAAAATGGATTTTAAAATTTTTTTCGACTGCCATATTGGATCCACCATTTTGAATTTTGAAAAACTCAACTCAGATTTGAAATCAGCGATCTTAAAAGCTTTAAAAACAACTGCAGCTTTCTTTTTTTAAATATTCAGTTTTTCCTGAATGTAAAAAAAGATTAAATCATTGGCTGACTTTTTGCCATAAAATTATAGTTATTTTTTACTAATTCAAATTTAGAGAAAAAATACAAATTAACATTTATGTATTTTTAACCTGATTAAAATTTATTTGATTCAAATAATTGGTTACTTCAATATTATCAAATACAAAATTTAATTGTATTAAATAATTATTATTTGAATTATTATTCTTTTAAAATAAATTTCAAATATACAGAAATTATTGGACCAAATAAAATTTATTTAATTCAAATGAAAATTATTTGGGTCAAGTAAATATTTATTTAATAATAGTCAAGTAACCGATTATTTGAACAAAATAAAAATTTGTTTCATTGTATATAATAAGAATTTATTTAATCAAAACTGAAACAACTAAAATGTTTTATTACCAAAATTTTCAAAAAAAATTTAAAATTCTAAATCATCTATTAAATTACACACAAATGGAAATTATGAGACACTCACAGTTTGTAATTAGCTTGAATGTTAAATAAAATTTTAATCTGTCATGAATTTAATACGTCTGTTAAATTAATTTTACGAAAAGTAAAGACGAAAAATTAAAATTTTGGAAAATTTAAAAGTTAAAAAAATAATTAAAAATCGAAGAGTTAAAAAAATAATGGAAAAGGTGTTATTTTTGTTATTAGTGTGAATAGATCAATAAGTGTGGTAATTATAATTAAAAATATTATGAGTTTTGGCGCAAGAAAAAAAGACATAAAAAAAAGTTGCAAAGAAGCATAGTTTATTGAGTTAATTAAGAAACTGTAAAGCCAGCTGAAACCTTGAACTCGTGACTATACTTCCTCGCAGCCTCGACTCTTTTGGATTCATGGGAAATTGGAAACTGGGTTACATTTAGAATTTAGAATACAGAAAAAAAAGGAAAAAAGTTATATATATATATATACTGACGTTGAATATTAGTTACATCGAAAACACATACAAATATATAGATATATTTTACAGAAAAGGAAATAAACAGAGAAAAAAAATGAAAAAAAAAGAGAAGTGAAACTGTGAACTATATATATATATAATAGTGTTCAACAAGCATCAATATTTACAAGCAATTTTAAATATAGTCTACCTCTATACAGTCAAGTGAGACAATATGTTATGTATGTAGATTTTTTTTTCTCCTATTCCGTTTTATTTTCATGTTACGAATTTCAAACAGATGTTCAATTTATATATCGAAACAAGATAAAAATATTCAAATTTCAAACCCATCAATTACTATTTTTATTTTACGTAAAATTATCAGAAAATTGCATTCCAAATAATTAAAATATAAAATAAACTATAGATCAATAACTTTTTCCCCCATTAGCAATATTAAGGACATTTTTACGTTAAATTTATATGAAATCGATTTTCTATTTAAAATTTTCCTTTATGTATTCATTAAATGTGTGCGGTAAAATTTCAAAATCTTTTTTAATGCCAAAAATTCAGTATAATTAAGATTTTAATTTCAATTTTTAAAATTATGCAAAAAAAATTGAAAATTTTAACAAATTTCTCATTTTATTTTTGAATTAAAAAATTTCAAAGAAAATTTAAGAAAAATCGATTTTTTTCAAAAATAGTAACCGAAAAATGTTCTTTAGTTGAATTAACCAAAAGTTTGTTTGGTTTAATCAAAATTTTGGTAAACACAACGAAATTCATTGGTTGGTCTTAACGATTTTTTAACGTCAACCAATGAACGATTTTTTATTTTAAATAATTTTCAAGTTTAACAATATTTTTTAAGGAAAATTCAAGCTTAAGTATTCTTAGTCCATGAACATAACCTCAAACTAAAAAGTTGTTTTTAAAAACAAATAAAACTATAAATAAAATTCATTTTATCAAATTTTGAAAAATTCAGTTATACAATTTTCAAAATTTTTTTATTTTGCGAAAAAATTTGTTATTAAATAATAATTATTTCACTCTTAATATTTTGAATTTTATTAACAATATTTTATTCAAAAATTAATTAACAAATAAAATTTTTATTTTTTTTTTGTATTTTTTCAACAAAGCATTATTTAAAAAAACACAAAATCAGAATTGTGGAAAATCATTCAAAGAGAAAAAGAAAATATAGTCTAAAAAAATTGAATAAAAATTACGATTTTTACATAAATTTTAAGAAAAAAAAAATGTTAAATAATTATTAATTGGTAATGAATTTCGATTCAAAAAATTTTTCCTATTTTGAAAATCGTACAACTAAATCTTTCAAAATTTGGTGTAAAAAAATATTTTAAAAATTTTAATATTTTTAATTTTGTGAAAAATCATTTTTTATTTTTAGGTTATGTCACTTGGTTAAGTAACCTTAAACTAACTAAAAAAAAATTTGTTTTCAACCTAGAAAAATTTAACAAATTATATTAATTTTTCAAATAAAAAATTGAAAACCAAAAACTAATTTACATATAGTAATTTAAAATACAAAAATTAATTAAATTAAAAAGCATAAACATTAAGGGAACTTTGCCCCGTAACATAACCTCAAAATAAAAAATGATTTTTCACAGAACTAAAAATATATTTAAAATATATTACACCAAATATTGAAAGAATTAGTTGTACAATTTAAAAAAAAATATTTTGAGTCAAAATTTATTGTCGAAAAATAATTACCATTTTTTGTTTTTTCTTAAAAGTTATGTATATAATAATAGTTCCTTTTTTTCTTACTGAAAGATTCTCTACAATTTTGATTTTGTGTTTTTGTTAAATAATGATTTATTTAAAAAAATTTTTTTAAATAAAAATTTTATTTCTTTATTAAACTTTTTGAATAAAATATTGCTAATAAAATTCAACCAACAAAATCATAGAAAATCATTGAAAGAGCAAAATGAGCATTTGTTTGTAAAAATTAGATAAAAATTATAATTGTTTAACAACTTTAAACAAAAAAAATATAAAAA